CCCCCGGGAACCCGCTGCGCTTGTCGCCTGCTCTCTAACGAGTTCTGGGTTCAAGGGCTAACCCTGCGCAGCGCGGGTATTACTGGGGATCGCGCCTCCTCTGGTTTACGCTCCTGTAGATGCGGGGCATCCCTGGATGTACCTATACGCTTGTTGGGAGAGGGCTGCACAACCTGACTGCTGTTCCTCTTCCCTTCCGCAGCTGGGGTGCCCTCCTTCACCTTCGGCACCCACTTAACCTTTGCAAGAATAACGATTCCCGGCCCCATCCCGTAGCCACGGAGAGGATAAAACTCCCTTTTGCTTCCATGGGACTTTCTCCCCGCCGGGGAACTGCTCTTGTCCCTTAAAAATTCTTTTACGGAGCAGAAACAACCATGCCACTCCCGAAGCATCAGCCGCAGGAGCCTCGTTGAGACTGCGGGAGTAGCGTGTGCGCTGGGGCAAGAGGGAGCTTGGTGTGTTCGGCGAGTCCAGGGGCTGCATCGCCCCCGGAGTCCGGCGAACGCAACAGCGATGGGTGGGGGGGGTGGCTGGTCAAAGCTGTCTCCGCTCGGCAGCCCTGCAGCTACCAACGCTGCCGGGGAAATGAAGCGGGAGCAGGACAGAGCAGCCGGCAGAGCTCGGCAGCGGTTCCAAAGCCTCTTCACTCCCGGAGCTTCACCGGGAGGATGGAGCAGCCCAGGCGGCAGACACGCAGCGGAGAGCAGGCACAAATGCACTGCAGCGTCCCCCTCCTTGTCCTCACGCCTCCCCGGGCAAGGTGTCCCCCCCGACACAGGCCCCCAGTTAGCTATCAGTGGCACCTGGGGGATATACACATATATATATGTGGGGAGATATATATATATATATGTATCTTTTCTGCTTTTCTTCTCTTTGCCTGATTTTTCCTCTTCCTTTGGTTTTGGTGACGACCATGGTGAAGGATTAGAGTGTGCGGGCTCTGCCCCCGGTAGAATGGCCCGGACTGATATGAAAAGGTAGAGTCAGAGAGGGGCAGGAAGGGGCACGATCCCGCGGGACCGAGCGCCGAGCGTATCCTAGGACTGCGGCTGGCGGCGGGCGCTGGGCCGGGCCCGGAGGCAGCGTGGGTGCTCCGGCACACCCTTTCCCAAACTGATCCTCCCGTCTCTCACGACCCTTCTTCGCTCTTCAGGTCCCATGTAGCCTTGTTATTTTAATAGCTGCTAATGACAAGAAAGGGAAGAACAACGCGGGTGGAAACTGCTCCCGCGGTGAGAGTAAACGCTCTTCAAATAGCAACTCCCGCCTCCATCCCCCCAAAAGAAAATCGGAGCAGAGATGGATATAACGTTCTTTTGCCAACTTTTGAGTTCTCCTTTCCCTCCCCCCCCCCCTCCAAACTTCTAGGGTTCCCTGAAAATATAAAACAAACTTGGGAACATCTCCATTTTGTTAGCAAGGGGGAAATCGTTTTTGCTTGATTGCGATGCTGAGATGTGACTCAGCGCTTTAACATATTGTTGCTCTTGTCTAGAGAGCTACTGCTGCTGGGGAGAGGCCCGCGGGCCCCTAAGTCCCAGCTGACCCTCCGGCGTCCCTGTCCCCCCGCGCCCCGCGCAGCCGGCGGGGACAGCCCTGTGCCAGCAACTTCTGCGGAGTAGGAAAGAAAATCCAGAGCACGGAATAGACCGATAGGGGATTTGTCTTCTTCAAGAATCACAATGGATTTTGCAAGAAACTAATTAAGTGCAAGATCTCCCCCCACCCCCAGCCCCCCGGCCCACACACCCCTTGTTTGCAAAGTGGTGTGAAGTCGGTTGTGTAAATGATTCCACTTTAACTTCCAACCTCTTTAGATCACTAATAATGCCGTGGTGGTGCTGCTTACACCGGTGCAG